GCGCCCCCCGCCACCCTGGCAACGGTGGCCCCCGCCGCTACAAGCACTTTGACTGGCTCTACGGGCGGCTGGCCGAGAAGTTCCCTGTCATCTCTGTGCCCCACTTGCCGGAGAAGCAGGCCACTGGCCGCTTCGAGGAGGACTTCATCTCCAAACGTCGCAAAGGTCTGGCCTGGTGGATGGACCACATGTGCAGCCACCCTGTGCTGGCTCAGTGCGATGCCTTCCAGCACTTCCTCACCTGTCCCAGCACGGATGAGAAGGCCTGGAAACAAGGCAAGCGTAAGGCTGAGAAGGATGAGATGGTGGGTGCAAACTTTTTCCTGACCATCAGTGTCCCCACTGGCCCTGGGGCCGGCCTGGACTTGCAGGAGGTGGAAAGCCAGGTGGATGGCTTCAAAGCCTTCATGAAGAAGATGGATGAGAGCGCCCTGCAGCTTAATCACACAGCCAATGAGTTTGCCCGCAAACAAGTCACTGGTTTCAAGAAGGAATACCAGAAGGTGGGGCACTCCTTTAAGTGCCTTAGTCAGGCATTTGAGCTGGACCAGCACGCCTTTTCGGCTGGCCTCAACCAAGCCATAGCCTTCACTGCAGAAGCCTATGATGCCATTGGGGACCTCTTTGCAGATCAGCCCCGGCAGGACCTAGATGCTGTGATGGATTTGTTAGCGCTGTATCAGGGGCATTTGGCCAACTTTCCAGACATTATCCACGTCCAGAAAGGTAACACCCTTACGTGTTTTCTAAAATGAAGTTTTATGTATCAGTGGTATGCACGCAGATATAGAGACAAAGGGCTAAATTTGCTCTGCATCCAGCTTGCTGGCCTTGGGTTAAATCTTTCAGTGTTTACTCAGGTAAACTGTTGCTAAAAATACAAAAACCCCATCAGTGACAATTTTCATTCTGTGCCAAAGGTCTAGACATTGTTGGGAATTTTATTGGTCAGAGTTTTGGCTGTGTATCTCTGAAAGAAACCACATCTGCCTAAACTGCTGATACATTAAAGATTAATGGGCTTGTTTACAAACCATGGAGATCAAGTGATATGAAAACATCTATTACTCTGATGTATGTTAAGTATCTTAAATCTCTGATCTAGTAGATAGTAAATATGAAGTAATCTAGAGATACTCCGATTGACCACCTTGTTTGAGGTACGTGTAGTGGTGTGTGCATTTTGCAGTGTCAGACATTCAGATGAGATGTTTAAAGCTGCTGGGGTTTGTCAGTTTGGCCATGCATTAAACTCTCTTGGTGCCTTTGTAAGGATGATGGTCTGCCATGATGTTCTTAGTTGGAGTTGTTCATCCTTTGCCCTTATGATCATAAAAAGATTTTGCTCACTTGTTATCCTTTTGTCATCTTTCTAGCTGAAACAACACTTCTGAGGTTCAGGTTGCTGTTTGTATGGCACTTTATGATCCATTGGAGAGAAACTCCAAAAATGAAAGAATCATCTGCTATATAACTAGTGACACTTGCTCAGATAAATAGAAGTTTGTAGCATTATATATGTGTAGATGATTTCCCAGCTGTGATGTTAATACTATTCATATATTCTTCACCATTATGAGACTAGCCTGTTGTTCATTCTTTTTGATGTTATATATGATCAGGGATGTGTGGGGATTAGAGCTGTAAAAGAGACTAAGAAAACATCACATATGCTGTACAGAAATGGGTGCGTGTAACAGTTATCCAAGAAAATGAGTGAGCTTCTTTATTGAAAATTATTTTGGAGATTAATAAGTGGTGTTCTGCACCCCAAAAGGCAGAGCTTGAATTGTCACCCATGGTGAATCAGTCTTTTGTGCCCTTACGTGACATTTCCAAGGTTTTTGCATCTGGAATAGTACCTTGAGTTTTACAATAAAAGAGTTGAAAGAGTTTTTTCAACAGATCAAAAAGGCAAGCTTTTGGGAGGTATGCATTATTGCTGGGAAAAAATGAGGAGGCAGAGTTGGTACAAAGTGTGCAATTTGTTGTTATTTTAAAAAGTAAGCTTTTCATTAAAATTACATGCATCAAAGTCAGATTTCCATTCTGTCAAATTTTGAAAACTGAGTGGAACTTAAATAATCAATATTATTTTGAAGAGAAAAGAGAAATGGGCAATCCTTAGAGGGGTTGTTCTGTTAGCTGCTGTGACATTGTGTTCTGATAACAACTTTGAAGTATTTTAAATTTAGAGAGAAGGATGACCTTGATAATGCCTCGTGTTTGGGAGTAGGGGATTTTAAAGTGAGTTATCAACTAATAATAGGATTATTTGTAAGCTTCCGGGAAAAAAAAAAAAACAAACCCAAAGGGAAAGATTTTTATAAGGTGGAATAAAACAGCAGATGATATATACTATTTAAATACTATATCCTCAAGCTTTAAGACTATATAGAGTTCTTCACTGTAATATTTTGGGAGAGTGTACTTTGAGGAGAGGATTGGGAATAATAAGATACGTGCTTGACTCAATCCATATTTCCTTCAACTTGCATGTCTCTGTTTCCTTTATAGTTCTGTTTAAATTTGCACTTATTGGTTAGGTTTACCATTCTGAACCAGAGAAAGTTCATCTAAATGAGCTTCCACTAGAGCAGTGCATGAGCATGATGCATTTAGAGCTGATTTTGTGCCAGAACACTGTCCTGGAACTGGTTGGAGATGTTAATGCTTAAGCACCTCTGGGCTAACAGTGCCTTCAACGCAATATTATCCCTGGTACATACTTGCCATCAGAAAATGGCATGGGCTTTGAGATATTGGTCTCTTGAGTGTCCATGTTCATCACAGGAATAGGATTAGAGCCAGGTTACATGTTTGTTGTTGTTGTCATTTCCTTTACAAAATAGGCAAATCGGAAGAAACCTGAGAGGAAGATGTTTTTTACCCCCAGTATATTGCTGGTTTATTATTTTTAAGGGTTACTTGTAACAAGGTATAACTTTTCAGTTCCTTATTGTAAACTTCAGATGGAAATATGAACTGTTTGATGTTCTTACAACATAAGAGCTTTCTTTTAAATTTACTAACTGGGATAGTTGTCAGTATTTGAGAATTATTGTCTGTATAGACCAAACAAAAATCAGTTGGTGATAGTAGATCATCTGAAAAATAGAGTTGATGCATCTTTCTTTTAGTATTTTATTTTCAAGTGCACAACTGCACAACTTCTTCATGCAGTAAAATGACCCCAAAGTGCCCTTAGAAATGGTAGAAACAGCAGGCTGATTGACATATTGCTTACATGGCCATGACTTTAAAACGATGAACTCTGAAGTTAGGAATACTTCTCCATTTTTCTTCTACATAGTGCAAATGTATTGTACACTTGGGATAAAAACCAAAGCCTTTTCTAGACTCCATTTCTATATTACCCTAGACCTGAGAAGGACCAAAAAATAAAGGCTGCTATGCCCCAAACGTACCTATATCTGTGGGTAGAATATTAGACTGCCTTGTCCTGTTATGGGTTTGCTCTACTGCAAATAGTTGAATAGCTGCTTAATGTGATTTGGCAGTGTATTTTGTGGTATGCACTGAGAAGTCTGCATGTCTGGGGTTTTTGAATAATTTCTGCAGTTTTTCTTCTGCAAAAAGAAGGCCAGAGAATCTCTGAGCCAGAGACAAAAATTTCCCTCCATTCAGGCTTTATCTTTTCTCCTAGAATTATGAACCAAAGCCATGTAAGCCCCACTATTGCTTTGTCTGCGTATCAGCAG